GTCGGTGATATGATGCACTGAAGAGAAGCAGACTAGCATCAAAGTGGTTCTTCGTGAGGCAGCTACTTTTTCCGGTTCTAAAACAAAGAAAAGTGTAAATAAAGACTTATCCTTAACGATAAACATGTAATTAAAAAAATAGATTGAAGAAAATTTAAGCAATAAAAGAGTTGCTTAGAGGTCATTATTCTTTCCCCTTTCTTTTTCTCTTATTTCACACGAGAGAAAGAAAGAAAAAAGTGGTTAACACGTTTTTATTACCAGCTACACAATACAATTTATAACTGAGGGTTATTTGTTTTTCTCTAACGAACGAAATGAACACCGACACAGTGACTGAAAAATTCTTGTAAAGCATATCTAACTTAAAAGTTTTCTTACCTTCTTTTCTTATTAATTTTTAATTCACATATTTTGTTTTCTCAAGCAAAAACACCTCAAATTCCAATTCTGACTATATACATCACAAATCAAATTTGTTGTCTGCCGTGTTCAGAAGAGAAAGCCGCAGAGTCATGGTAGTAGCAGGGCCGTCGCGATCTCTCCAGCTTTAGGGGAGCCAGTTATAAAATGACATAACGACGAGCACGCAAAACACAAAAAACGGAAAAAGGTATCATAGTACTACATTGTAGCTTACCCAGGCCGGGAAAAATGAGATAAAAAATGAGCCATAAATAACTCATTTATGTACCATATATGGCTCATTTTTAAATCGTATCTCTTCCATATTTATCTCATTTACTGTATCATAATGTAATGATAATTATGTCATTTTTTTATGGGATAAATATCATCTTATTGTGGACATCAAAATATGATCGTATTACGATCCTATTTAGATCATTTTTAGCTCAATTTAAGACTATTTATTAGATAAGAACTAGTAATTTTGATTAATTACCCTCTAGTTTTTTCCACAACACTGTAGAGAGCTGAGCCTAGAGACTAATAGGTAGTAAACTTAATTTCTGACATTTTTGTACTATAGTCCCACCTTGGAAAACACTTCCTTCATGGCGAAGAACGAAAAATAAAGTTTAAAAAGGGGTTTTCACTCTGAAGAAAGGGTTTTCGGGGATCGGGTTCGGAGTAAAAAATATCTGAAATTAAGTTTATTATCTTTTAGTCTCTAGGCTCAACTCTATACAGTGTTTGTGGAAAATGGTAGAAGATAAATGCGCATAATTCCGTACAAACTGCTACTTCCGTTTGTGCCATAATGTTCCATAAATGACTAATCTAATACAGATTAATGATATGTGACTAATCTAATACAGATAAATGATATGTGACTAATCTAATACAGATAAATGATATGATCTAATTATTCCCTTGACTGAAAGTCTAGGGTCATATGAAATAAATGTCGGCGTCGGCGTCTGCGTCGGCGTCCGCATGTGACGGGCGTACATAGATATAGTGACCAGTGAGTGTGACGGACGTACATACATATAGTCGTGTGACGGACGTACATACATATAGTCATGTGACAGTGTGACGGACGTACATACATATAGTGACCAGTGAGTGTGACGGACGTACATACATATAGTGACTAGTGAGTGTGACGGACGTACATACATATAGTCATGTGGCAGTGTGACAGACGTACATACATATAGTCATGTGGCAGTGTGACGGACGGCAATGATCGTTTTTCGAAAAAAGTCGGCATTAGGAACTTTTCGAACGATGGCAAAGAACCGGGACCGGTTTCTGCTAGAAAATGGCCCAATATGATTTTGGGCAATATGATGAACGATACTTGTGTTCATAAAATGTGACAAATATAATTGTAAGAAAATGATCATTATACATCAGAAGTTAAAAATGATGTAAAAATGACACATAAACGTCACATCGAGGATCCTAGATATATGATATAAAAATGATACATAAATAGATCATTTTTAGATGATGATAATAGGATCACATTTAGATCATTTTTACAAATCGTATCAGATATACATCATTTTTATCTCATTTTATGAAATGGTCTTAAAATGATTCAAATATGATACCATTTTAAGCGCATATTTAAATCATTTTAGGATCATAATATGATCATCTTCACTTCATATCATAAATGAGCCATACATGTTTCATTTATGTCTCATTTCCTGCGACCTGGGTATCTTAACTTTTTAATGCGTTGATAAATGGTTAAATTTTCAAGTATTTCTAAAAGTTGGAGGAGGTTCATCCCTCCCCTCCTCCCGTTCGGGATGGCTCTGGGTAGTACAGAAAAGTCCATTTCAAAGTGGCGCAACTACTCAATAAGTAAAAAATGTTTGTTGTAAAAAGCAGTGATATTGGTGTCCCTATATCTCAAGAATCAGGCAGTACTTATCTTTGAAAAATAGCTCGATGCGTGGTCCAATATTGTCTCTTTCAGATGGGACTAAATACACACATGGATACTCCCTAACTAATTTTTAACTCGTTTAGTCGAGCGATGTTGCATTAATCTCATAGTAAGTTAACCGCCGAATCATGAACGAGGTTACTAACCAATAATAAAATTTCATTAGACAACGAAGGTGGCGTCAATTCTGTGGGAAAGAAACAAATATCTGATTCTCTACTCACTTCCCTGCACGAGCTTAGAAAGGCAACTGTAGAACGCACATTCAAGATATAAGACTATAACAACCGCAACTTTTTGTAGTACTGAAATCGGCAAGCGGCACAATTAAACTGGAAATGTCTAAATCTTAGTGTCTGTTAAAGATTTGTAATGCAAATGCTCTCAAAGTTAACTCTAAAAAATGTGTAGTATAGATGTAACCATTGCGTTCGTTCGAGAAAAACAAATAATTCTCAGCTACGGATTAAATTGTATTGTGCAGCTGGTAATAGAAAACGAAAAGGGTCAACCCGCATAAGACTTGAAATCGGTCCACTACATGTTATTGCTTCAATGTATCCAGAACTCATCAAAGTTATCTCAATCGATGATTTCGACCCTTTGGAACGGCTCCGATTGGACGTATCCGATCGAATCTATTCGAAGACAAACACCGCACCTAGTGTAATACACGATTCGATGCGCCTTGAAAAGCTCTACAGGAGATGTTAATAGGAAACTTAACGGAGCCTGGCAGCGGCCTTTGTGAATTTAGTGGTTCGCCGCTTAAACGTAAGAGAACTTGTATACCGTTTTCTGCTTTAATAGCTTCTGCGAAAGATATGCAAGACACGTGTTTTATACGTTTTACTCTAGGGAACATCGTGGGAGACTTTGAAAGACCTACGGTAGACATTATAACATACCTCTGCAGAGAATGCAGTTGTTATCAGGCGCTGCCATATTAAATCTTTTTTGTAGGTTGACATGGTATACATCTTAATACACAGAAGGAAATAAAACAACCTTAAATAAATAAACTTCGTGCGACAAAGATAAGTATAATTCAGCTCTCGAATAACGTCTTCCAATAGTTGTGGAAAATTCACTTGATCAGCAACAGCATCTGTTCATTTAGAAAGTTTTCTCAAATCCATACGATCGATCTGTTTTTCCAGTCTATTTTCCTTAAGAAGCATATCAAGCATTCGTTGGCCTGTATTAGAGGAGTCTGTTAAATCATTAGTAGCCCGGGATTTGTAACGAGTAATTAATGCTCAAACTATCAAATCGAATTCTCCCAAATAAGGTGTAGTAGTGCTCTGTATGGTTTGATTCAGTAGTTTCCAACCCTCACAGCATTTCTCATATTTCGTGGGTGCGAATGCCGACCGAAGGGAGGCGTGAGCATTGTCTGGCCTTCAGAAGTATTTTCGATGTTTGCAGGGTCTGGAGAAAACTTTTAGCTTTATCATCATGCACTTTTTCCATCCAACCAGAGAAGTTCACAACATTTCTGATCTTTCGTGGATGCGAATGCCGACCGAAGGGAGGCGTTAGGGTGAGGACCTCGTTAGTATCTGATACATTGAAGACTGCAAATATAATAGGAAAAAGTTATCAAAACAAATCTAATGTAAAAAATAGATAAGAAATTGTTACTCAATCAATAAAACAAAAACAAAAATATCAATAGCTATTTTAAAATATTTTGGTTTAACAATGCATCACTCGGTCTGAGTTTGAATGGTTACTCGTTGGTCACTATTATTTAAACATGATTGTAGTTCAGATAGAAGGGTTGAACGATGTCTTGTGAATTTTCTTATTGTTGGTAATGAGAGTAAGTCATTCGTTGAATCACGAGACTCAGCATGATCGACTACCTAGAGTTTATCCATTTTCAGGGCTACCAATAGTCACCGCGTGCCAGTCCAGGGACTCATAGGAAGTCCGACACAACACCCGAGCCGCGGAAAATCAAGGCCTCATTTGACTCCCATTCCGAAGAGGACGCCTCAGCACAAGTGGTATAACTGTAGAAGGTCCATGTACAGAATTTAGCGATGATATTGCCCATGCTCTCGATGTTAAACCCAATATAAAATCATGCGGTACTCAGTATTCTTTACTAGATATAACAGTCAAAAAAGGTTGTATAATTTGTGGAGAATTATTTAAAAAAGGTGATGAAGTTTTGACATGTAGAATATCTTCATGTAAAAATTGCAATACAAAGACTACATAAATACCTAGCATGTTTCGGTAACAAATTTCGACGTCGTGCATTTTCTATTATCGCTTTCGGTATATGTTTTTGCCCCAACTTAACCAAATCATAGGTAGTAGTGTCATGCCAAATAACATGCTCAGCATTACCGCATGAAGCCTTAGTTGATTTCGAAGTCATACCCTGTCAATGATTTAGAAAGAAAATCTTTGGCCTTGAGAAACTTTATTTTATTTTTCATTTTGAAAAGTATATACACTGGATCTAGTTATATCCAATATATTAATCACTTGAAGGCTAGTCAGCAGATCTTTCTTACGCTTCTAGAACTCGATGACACATGTTTATAATTCTGCATCCTTCCTTCTCTTAGCCTTTTCTTTTTCTTTCTTCCATCTTTCTTTTCCTTTACTGTAACATATGACAAAAGTGTCTTTCACCATCGGGAAAGATTTTGATCCTACGTCTATTCAACATTTCTATAATATCGGATCTGCTAGAAGCGCGTCAAATCCACCAGGACGGGCCAATGTAGGTCTCGGGGCTACGCTTACCATGAAGACGTAAAAAGTGCTAGAGACTTCATTGTTGCATCATACGAACAAAATTGGAAGCCGCTTTCATTTGAATATAAATAAAGTTAAGTTTTGTTAGATTTTGAGCTCATCCAACACGCTATAGAACGAGTGATATCTACTAATGCAGATATTTTCCTCCAGTTAAAAATTCCTTCCGAATGTCAGCGGAGAAACTCTCATTTGCGGATCAAAATATGCAACTTTGTATGCTCTCTCCAGTTAGCAGTATGAGAACGCTTGTTAGTATTAGATAAGGCCGGAGTTCGCTGTTCTGGCACCCTTAAAAACGCTTTAATTCAGAACTTATGGCCGAGGAAAAACCATGTTCGGAATAATTTTTCCATGGGGCGACAGGAGACTTTACATATCTTTAGTAGGACAATCGATTGCATATAGTCTAACCTTCCCAGCTTTTGGCTCATGTAATACTGGGCGGACCTGTGCGGAAGTACCCAGTTGATATTAAATGAAACACGAAAAGTATTAGAAAGGGAATTGCTAAGTGACGGCTGAACATATACAGTATTTTTTTACACTTGTTATTAATCTGATTTACAATCGCAACAAATAAAACTAAACGAATTACAGAAGGAAATAAAGCAATTGCAACGTAGATAAAAAGATACACAATAACCAAAGCAGTAATCACAGGAAAACACCGAACAATACGAGAGAAAAAAGACGGGGGCGATTATTTGATGAAATCGGTCCCTGCTTCAGTTCCATCTACACATACATGTTTAGATGCAGAAGGAACAGGAGAACATTTCTAGTCACTCCGCAGATCTTAGAAATGCTCTCAAAAAAAATTGGGTTCAATTAACCCTAATCACTTCTGCTACGTTTTATCGCTCATATTTTCGAGTGTGTCTCTCTCGGCTTCAAACCTTAGTAGAACTTTTATATGTCATTCGAAAGCTCTTTTTCTGCGCTATATTTCTGTATATCACATATACGGAAATAGTCGTTCTGCGGCCAAGGATGTTTAGAAATACTTCCGTCTATGGAAAATAATCTTCTATATGCAAAAAGTCTAAGATAATCTATGACACCCTTTATCATCCAACCACTACGATAGATATACCAATAGATAGATACCTTCTCGCGCTACAAGTTCATATATATATAATAGTGAAAAAAGCGTCCCAGGACACCTTGACATTAGAAATACTGTTTGGAAGGCCGTGAAAAGTGGTTGGCTTATTCCATGATGAGGATCCTATGATCGACGTTTCTCAACTAGCCACTACGATAGATATACGAATCGATAGACACTTTCTCGAGCTGCAATTTCAAGTGTATATAGTAGTTAGAAAAGTGTCCCACGACACCTCGACAGTTGTAGGGTTCTGATCATCAAAATTTCTATCACTTTGTCTGAAAAACACAGTTGTAGGGTTAGAGTATATTGCTAAAGGAAGTCTAACTTCTAAATATATTTTATCTATCCACCATTGGGTCAGTTATAAATAAGTGCAAACAAAGCGAATTCAATGAAAAAAGGACAATTTATTTATTGTGTCCGTCATCCTTACCCAATTTATGTCAGTTGAGTGAATAAATGAGCATACGATAAGGGAGAAACTTTTGTAATTAAAAATCATATCGATATTAGATTCTCACCATGAGAACTAACATTGCTGTTATTTATTCTCAGATAATAACTGGCCATGATACCAACAAACATTTATTTAGTTTCTTGCAGTCCGGAATAAGCAAATGAAATAAGTGATGCATTTCTGAAAGTAAAAAGAAATCTACTTTTACCTTAGCAAATTTCGTTTTTTTCGTTTTTGAAAGTCCTGTCGTGATCAAGTACTGGTACCTGTTGTTAGCATTCCTAGTTAATACCTTATAGTTTTAGCCTGATTCGCTTTTTAAAAGTATCATTGAATCAATGCATTTAACTAAAAGTTCACCGAGTCATATTTTCATGCTTACGTTTTTGCACAATTAAAATGAACGTTAACCGCAGAAACTATTACAGAGTAGCCGAGCCTTGGTTCCTTAAGCTCGTCTCTCCATGTATGTTCCATTAGCGTCTACTCACTGTCAACAGTTTTTTAGTGTCGTACAACAGTTAACCCTTTAATTGCACGTAGATACTATGTACAATATCTGATACAATTCTTTAGTCAAAGCCATGTCACTAGGTTGACTTATGAATTTTTCTTTTGAGAAGGACTTCAGATTTCAAAAGTGACTCTCAACAAAATTACCTCATGCAATGTCAGATTCTTCCTGTCCTGTCGAGTTTCTCCGATGTCATTAGTCTCCTTCTTTGATCCTTTCCCAGATATTCAGATATGCTTATAAATAGCTGGATTTTAGAGGAACGTAGCTTAGAGTATTTTCTTACTGAATGAAGTGCACAGAATAGAAAATTATCAAGACAGTTTTACTACTTAACGATATAATAAAGTAAACTAAAGAGAATAATTGTTGATAATTTATCCTTATAATTCAACAGTAGAGTTCCCATATATTCATATCACAGTATGTACCATAAAAGTTGAAATATATTCAAACATGTGAAAAAATTTAAGAAGTTTAAATGCGTTAGTTAATAAGACATTTGGAGATGTTGAGTTTGTAAAAATGCGTTAGGAAAGTTAAAAAATTGCATACTCCCAAATACATTAACCTTTAAGATATTCAAAGGAATTCAATTCTTTTTATTTAACAAAATTTTGGATTATCTATCAAAAAATCATTGAGTAAACTATAAAATTTTACGTAATTTGCATTTAGACCCGTGTGAACCAGACTAGATTTTATCTTTTATTTTAATATGTAGTACGAAAGGCAGTATGTTATTATTATTAATGATAATATTTTGTAGATTTAGAGTTCACTTTTGGTTATTAATAATTATTTGAATTTAAAGGTCTGTATATTATTTTTCTTATATAATGAGCTCACTAAGTTTAGCTTGCGTTATTTTATTTATTGTAATGTCTTAACTTCAGAACTATCTTTTCCTTGTGATTTATTTGAATAGGATTGTGGTTTTTGTTCTTTGATTGTTTTTTATTAGGACAGGGTTAATTTGTGGATTTTATTTTTTGTTTTTTATTTTTTTTCGCTCTCGGTGTTTATGACATGGATTTATTTGGAGATTTAGCAGGTTACTTAGGCTCTGATTCTCTTCTGATTTTGATTTTCTTAGCATATATCTTTTACTTAGTAGTTACAGGTGTTTCTATGTATTTATATAAGTCTTCTAGTTCTTTGTGTACTTAGATTTGTTTTAAGATAATTTGTGTTTATTAGTTTTTAAACCATCTTTTCAAAAGATAGCTCTTTTCCGGAAATTGTGGACGAATTAAATAATATATTATTAACAGTAGTTATTGAAGGTACAAAATAATAATGAAAATAAGGGTATTGTATAACCGTCTACTCGAAGTTCTTTAGAGTCTCTGAAGTTTCTGAAACAAGAGAATAAAACTTTTATGAGAAAAAACGGAAATTCACGGGAAACGGGGAACTTTAAAATTCAACTAAAAGAACTTTTTAATTTTCGGTAGAAATAGTAAAAAATGGATATTTCGTCAAGTAAACGTTTCCACTAGGGTTTTAACCTTTTTCGAAAAACAGACATTGCTATAAGATTCAGCATGGTCGATAACCTATATTCCATATGTTTTCAAATTTTCCAAACGTGAAGTTTAGCCGATAGGTAGATCCTCGGAAAGCTCCTGGAGTATGGGTAGTAAAAATCTGGGACTCGTGCAGTTTTAAAGGGACTCGTGCAGTTTATCGAGTGCTGCTATTAAACGGTGATGCAGTAGAACATGATCAAGTGTTACTGTATTTATTTTTAAGATATTAGAGAGACACTGTAACACCATCTGGAGCGGGGTATCATAACGAGTACAATACATAAAGAAATGTTTAGTTGATTCCTTATCATCTCCACAAATACAATCCAGTTGCCTTGAAAGCTTTTTCAAGTCTCAAGCTTGCCCTAAAACTAGCCCGAACGTCAGCGAACACTACGCTCACTGAGATATACGCCGACACCCGTACATCAAGATTTATCAGCTGGTAAACATTCAACCAGTGGTAAACAACGTTCAAATCATTCTGATAATGATGCTGACCGTGAAAATTCCTTGTTTAATCATGAAACTGTAGCTGTAAGCTATACGTAAAACATTTTTTTTTAAACAAAACTCTTTGTTCTTCTCTATGTTGTATATTTAGGCCAGACGTCAGCGCAATGAACGTTCAATGGATAATGTATTAGCATTCATAAATTTGAATGAAATAATCGGTAAAACTGAAAGTAAGATCAAAATAATTAAATCATTCAATGATTTACAAGATATATCAGCATCTTCTAGTTTATCAAAATCTGTTTTAGGTGATAGTCAATAAATACGTTGTAATCCTATAAACGTAGTAAAATTAGGATTTTGACAGTAGCTGTATATAAAATCATTTGAATATTTATTTATTCCGACGTTTCGAAAATTTAAAATGCATGCATTTCGAAATGGTCGAAATGGAAAAGATGCAAAAGACAAATCAGCTTTAGCCAAACATGAATCTGAAACTGGACTTAAGATTGATTGGGTCAAATTCAAAAAAAACATATAGATTGCTCATTAAAGAATCATTAGTAACCAAAGCTTCTAAACCTTCTCTTAATTTGACAATGCATTCAGTACCAATGATTGTGTATCCAGAAAGCTTGCCGAGATGTTTGGTACATGATCCTAATGGCTAAGTCATGCAACTTTCATGTAGTTAATATATGACGTTCACTGACTATATTCATATTCAGTATCTTCTTATACAATGATAAATAGAAAGAAGACGAATTTTCTTCTTCTTTTTCGAAACTGTAAGAAAAAGAAAAGCATGTCGTATTTCTCCTTGCTTATTTTTCTTTTCGTTTTTAATCTGTGTTTCATACATATAGGAATGAAAAATCATTCTGTTGTGCATTCGTAATATTTTATTTGTAAAGTCCTTGAAAATGAAAATATAAATTTTCGAAACATCGGAATAAATAAATATTCAAATGACTTTATATACAGCTGCTGTTAAAATCCTATTTTTACTTCGTTTATTACCCATCAATAACTCTAATGAAATAAACGTGATAAAGCTCTGTGAAATAGTAAATGGATAAAAACATTTTATTTTTTCTGGTATGTTTTGTGTGAGTTTTTTTATATTTTCTTGTGCATTGATTGATCGATTTTTGGCGCTATAGGACGGATTCGATTTCATTTACTTTAGTCAAATTTTGTATCACCTAAATCATATTTTCCAAATTACTTTTGTACATATCAGTTGAACTAAGAAATGTGTTTAGATCAATGTATATGGTAGGCTCTAGGCTTTATGTTCGACGTTTTTAATAAAATAATCTGGTCTTTTCATTGGTTGAAAAAAAGGTATAAAAAATAAAATTTAGAGAAAACCCACATCGATTATGTCGACGCCAAAGAAGAAGTTAGAATGAAATTAAAAGGAATCCGCTGTCGGATTCATCGAAAAACTTGGCCCCAATTCCCATCTAGTTTGGTTCAGCGCGGCGGGAGCACTAAATTTTCTAATGATTATCGATATTAATGGCTTCAGATAAAGCGATCACATTCCATCATCATGTACAGCTACCGATCTTGTTATTCATTCTGTTTTTTTTTGAAATTATTACAACTGGAGATCGAACCGATATGAAGTACCTTTTCTTCGTTTTTATGTATAACTTTGTAGCTAATTTTCGTTATCGTTGTTAAGTATTTCTTGCGCGATGTCCATTTACATGCACTATTTTCGATGGATGTGAAAAAATTGGAAATGACTAATACTGACGTACTGCTAAAATACTCTCTAAAAAACTTTGTTTCTTTGTTAGCTGTCCTTGTAAAAGTTTTTTATATGGTAATTATGATAATTAAGAATTTCTTAATTGTTAAGAGTAATTAAGAAAAATTATTCTAAATTTTTGAAATTTCATAAATTGAAAAAAACTCGATGCTAATTTCTGAATTCTTTCTGCTAATCTTGAAAATTTTATTAATATAGAGTTGTATGAGTTCCCCTGCCCCGTTGTGGGTAAAGACTGTTACCTATCCGATGAAGATGCAAGAAAAATTCTTCTCTTAGTGGAAAACCGTAAAAATAAGATTTGTAAAAAAAGCATACCCAATATTTCTATCTCATTATCAATCTGTAGGAGCAGACACTCATCGTTGTCTTGGATTACATTTGTTGTTAAGTCAACATCATTGTCAAATGATGACGATCTAGCAGATTGAGAACTTAACACGACATGTTGTTCGTTTGATCTGGGCATTAACCATGTTTTTGTTTTCTCATTATTATTTTGAGATTTACTGGATAATAAAGATTTTCATCTTTCTTTAGCTTGTGCTTGACTTTTTTTTATTATATTTTGTCCTTTGATCGACGATCGATAACGTGCTGTCCGAACTTTATCTGATAACAACTTGGATAATACTTTCTAAAAGTAAACCGCAAAATTGTTTCTGAATTTAGATATAAGAAAAAGTACGGGGCATTCCCTTCTC